CGCCACAGACTTGCGATTGCTATTTCCCGACCCTGGAAAAAGCAATTGGGCCAGAAGAGGGACGAGAAGAGGGGAGAAAAGAGAAGGGATGAGCCGGCGTTCCTCAACAACAGCATGGTTCCTTGGGAGTCTCCAGTCCCAACGCAAACCAATTTTGGCCGATAGTGGGAAAGCCCCACGCGCGAAAGCTTCGCGAAGGTCGTGCGAAAGGCCTGGAAAAAAGTGAAAGGAACATTGAACAACCCCCGTATGAAAGGTGTTTATGGTGCTTGTGGAGACACGGATAGACATGCTTGAAATCCATTTACAGGCATGATCAACAGTGACCACGTTGTGAAAGTGGTACCCGGATGTACTTCCTATGCGGCTTGATATGAAGATTATGAAGGTGTTTTCCACTGCCTTACCTGGCTGTCCAGGCGAAGTGAGTTTTCACGCGTCCTGCCCATGTGAAGGTGAAAGCCCTGTGATTTGCCGACCATGGGACCATGGTCGTGTGTTTTCCGGGCGCCTTCCCCCAATCGCTTTCCGTCATTGAAGAGGAATGTCTGAGCGAATTTTGGCGGTTGAACCGTTGGTTCCTAACGTTGAGCCAATCAAACCCCCTTGTATTGGAGAGTGCAGACCCCCTTGTAACATCTTGTAACACCGTTTTGGTAGGGGAGGTCTACATTCATCGACACGACTACATGAATTCAATGGTAATTGGGGAATGTGGACAACTCTTTGTTGTGCAGGACACCGGGAAAAAACGGTTCCACCCATTGTGAACATTTGCTGGTTTTAACCTGGGGCAAAAATTCATTTAAAAACATATCAGCTGCATCATATCATATGCTTCAACATCAATCATCACAGGAGAACTTGAAATACCTCAAATTTACCATAGGATAGCGACACAATTGACATTGATATTTGTTGCACGTTCCATGCCGCAAGGTGCTACAGCGAAGTCCTTCAAGTCCTTTGCCGCTGCTTATGTTTACCAATTTGGCGCGAACAGGACAACAGCGAGGCCATCATCCTAGCCCAAGACATTCAGCGCTTTTTCGATATCTACGAGCGGAACTTGGATCGCTATGCTCTCTCATCGCAGGTTTCTGAGACAAAACGTGCAGTCCCCAAGAAATTGGGGAGAACCAAATCTATGTGTTTGATAGGCAGTGGGTTTTCAGAGGTATCAGGTATCACCTCTACTCATTGCTGAATCAACCCTTTTGGAAAGTTTTTCAGGATCTTGATGGATTTTGCCCACCACGTTGGCACAAGTTTGGCCAGCGATTCTCCACGAGCAACTCATTGTAATCGGTGCAGCGGTGATAGTGACACCCAGTTGGAAACTCAAATATCTCACAATTTATCATCAGGTTTTGAGTGGTTTTGCTACAATACTTGATAGGAACTGATAGTAATTACTGCATGTGATATTCAATGATATTCTGCTTTCCTGCTATATACTTTACAATTTTTACAATTATAAAGTATTATCATATTATCTATTACAGAGAGAGAGAGAGAGGGAGATGTGGCTTGGTGGAGGGTATGATTCAACACCGGAGGCATCGATCAAAAAATAGCCAAGCTTTGCATTTTGCTTCTCGGTTTTCTAGACCCTCCAGCACGTACGAATCCCACCCCGCAAAAGAGTCGCATGAAATCGGGGTGATGAAACCTTCGAGTTTTTTCCTTCGTCTCGAAACCGACCACCGAGACGGAACGTCGTTTCCACGTCACGTCAGCTGCGTCTCGACACGCACGGTGCGCGTCGTCCCGCGCACGGTGTGAGGTGTGGGCGATCGCTCGGAAATTGTATGCCACCCGCATGTTCCACAGCTTCTGCGATCGCGGGGAACCGGAGAACGCCTTGGACGTCTTCGACCGAGAGCAGCTGCTGTGTTGGGGCGCTCCCGAGGCGGAGGATGAACCGGTTTGGGGTCCGGTGTGCGGTTTGGATGGTGTGGCTGGCAGCATTTGACAGGTGAAACGTTAGGATGCCCATAGACAAACTATGACAAACTTAATATACCCAGAAGTGTGTGGCGGTGGACACCTCAACGCTTCAAGGGGGGATGTATGAGAATTAGTTATGCGACAATAAAGACCACGAAACAACTGAACCAACAGCAAATTGCAATCTAAAAAGGTGCGGCCTCAAAAGAAGCGTTACCTTGCACAAAGCGAAAGGGGGGGGGGTGCGGTGTCAAAGGAACCCCACCATTTAGGCATGGTGCCCGCTTGCTTTTGTATGAGACGACGCCACTGACCAACGACAAGAATCGAAAGGGAACAAGGCATAAGCCCAGTTTGGACTTCATCGTTGATCCCAGCTGCGTTTGGGGTTAGGGTGGACGTAGTACAACAAGTACGGTAAGTCAGGGTAAGTTACAGGACATCAGCACCTCGGAACGGCAGATCCAAAGAATGAAATCTCCAGTCTGGTTTACCCCCAGAACACAAAAGAGTGTTTGTCCTTTGTTCAAAAGCATGATGCAACTACCGAGACTTTGTGGTTCCATGAGGTTCGTGGTTGGTCTAACAAACCTAACACATGCCACATCATGTTCATGTTTAATCATAGGAAGCCGGAAAGACTCAGACAGATCGTAGTTTGTTCAGGAAAAAAAACACCACATGACATGGTACAGAAATGTCCAGTACGTTTTGGAGGTGTGATGCTTTTCCATCAGTCTTGGATGTTGTGCCATCCCAGGTGGCTAGCCCGTTGCGTCGGCCAACGGTACACCCGTCCGTCCACACTGCGGTGGGGGAACGAATGATCTGCGCCCTTTTTGTGTCGTAGGCGGTTTGTTCCCAATGCATCGCATCCAAACCAACAGAGCGGGTTGGCCCAGAGGAGATTTCGGCCGAGTACCCCCGCATCGTGGCCGACTACATCCGTGTCCTCAACTATGCAGCTTCACGGGGAGCAATGGCAGCTGAATCGCAGGTGTTTTTGTGGGTGTTCTTTTGGAAGGTCTGATGCAGGGTTTGGAAGATAGACATGCCAAGGGTCATGTTCTTTTCGAAGTTGGTCATGTGGTCATGTGGTCCTGCCGTTTCAGGAATGCACATGGGGTTCACAAAACATTCCACCGCTAGAAGGATGCCATAACCACCGTAGAATGCGCGGTGGATGGGTTGACGTGCATGTTGAGACGTTCAGAGTGCGCGGTGCTGGGACTGGGTTTGAACCCACACCGATGTGGGGACGAGCTTTCCATTCCACCAAATCGGAGCGTGCTAAGAAGATGTTCCTTCTGAAGAAACACCATGAAACACCCTCGCTACAACATCTCAACTGGTGAATGTACGTTTGTGTATATATATATATGGATTTGAAACCCTTTGGGTGAAGATCCTCAAGCTGATTACACCAGTCTACTGCCTGTTTGCCTGGGTGCGCGGAGTGCTCAAAGGAATGCCGTTGTGCTCGCGACTGCTTTCATGGCAACGATCCTATATTCTTGCTCGACTGCTCGCGCCATTACCCGCCTACGCTCCCTCCAATCTTGCAGGGTGGTGACTGGTGCCACACGATCTCACATGCCTATCAGGACCCAATGATCCAGTATGGATGTATCAGGAAGGATCAGGAAGGCACCATCTGTAAATGGCTACCTTTCATGACCTTTCATGCTGGGAACAGAATGCCTCCACAAGCCAACACAAACTGCCTCGATTTCTTGGCTCATACTCGTATATACAATGTGCCGTTTGATGATGACATGATGATGCTTAACTGAATGCTGCATCGTATGGACAGCTTAGGCAAGAACAGCAAGTCAAATGGTTTTCACGCATTCCATATCTATTACGGCATATAAAAAGATTTGAAAAGGAGGCACTCCGTTTGACCTTAGCAACTGCTTCAGTCCCTTTTGTTAAGGCCACATATGCTCTCCAAGAGCGACTTCGGCAGCTGCAGTGTTTCCTCGCCCGGAACAGTCGCATGGTGCTGGACCAAGAGACCCATGCCTCGCTCGCCCAGCTGGGCTTGTGTTGTTAGGCCGGGAGAAGACGAGTTGGGGTGTGGGAACCGCAGGTTCTCGGTTTTGCGGGATGCCGATGGATGACAGGATGAAGGGATCAGTGAGTGGACCCCCAAGGGCCAAGGGTCATGGCAGTGAAAATCCCACCAAACCCATGGGTTCGGTGTTTCCCTCGCGAACAGGAATCTCTTCAGAACTGACCCGCGGTCTGGCCGTGCCGTGCCCCGGTGCCATGAACCAAATGGATCGGTCGGCAGAGCCCGGCGGCCGCACGCAACGGTGATCGGCCGTGCCTCCAGGTTTGCCGAAGCAGCGGCGAGAGCGGAAGAAAGCGGAGATGCGAAAAAGACGTTGTTGTGGCACCGGGATCATTGTCAGACAGCGATGTTGTGGCACCAGGTTGCAGCCCTGCAAAACATTTGAAGAGTGTGATGTCATTCCAGTGTTTACATGAGCCAAACCTGTAGTGTTCACTGTACGTAGTAGCGACTCAGTAGCAGCCTTGTACTCCTTTGTTTATTTAGGGGATACAGCCATCCATCCTGTTGTCAACCGCCCAAAATATACCAAGACAAAGGTTTGACACTTCTCATGTAGAACCGGTCAATTAGAATCACAGGGTGACCTCAAGCTAAGCTGCCAGTGTGTGGTTAGACATGTGTAGCCGATAGGCGCGATAGGCGGCGGAACTCAACGCATCGAGATGTCAGGGTCCTATCCTCATTGAGGGAACACTGTAGTGACTCTATTTGGCTTCATGGGCAAAAGACCCAGGACCCTCAGGGCAAACCCTGTAAAGTCCCCAATTGGTATATTTATATATAGTATAGATTGATGATGATAACGATGATAGATGTAGAAAGTCGTATGTTTGTCAACTGGTCAATCTCCAATGCACTCAGGGAAAATCGCTACACGCAAAGCTTCACGGAGGATGTGCAGGCTACGTCGGTTTTTTTGTGCGATGACCCCGCGGGAGTTGGCAAGTTTGTTACGGTACGATCAATTGCATCACGGGAATTTGGGAAGCATCACAATTTGGGAATGTAGACTGTGACTTAACTGTTTCACAAGCTGATGCACAGTGCCTCTGAACTGACGTTTTGTCATTTTTTGTTGCATTGGCAACGTTCGAAGAACGGAACCGGCTGCGTTCGCCCATGTTGGTCGCGTGAACGCCGCGCCGTGAAAGCCACGTGAAAGCCGCGTGAGGCCTTCGTTCATGCCATCGTGATGACCTCAGGTTTGCGCATCAAGAAAGAATGACTTCTCGAGAGAGAGAGAGAAAGACTAATTCGTAAGTAATTGTTCTCATGTATCTCATATGATATCCAGAATTTGCCCCCATCCCTTTATAGTATGTTTAAAGAGACGAAAGAGAGATCATTCAAAATTGTCAACGCATCGCGAGTCGCGGGGTGTAAGTTTGATAGACCCTCATAGGCGAACTAAACCTTCAATGTCCCTGCCATTTATGAGGACAGCAGAAACAGTGGAAACCGGAGTGCAAGTTTGTCTCAAACATATTGTTTTTTCCACTTGTTGTTGGTGGTGAATGTTCATCTCTTTTGGAGGAACTTCTGATTACTTTCCAGGTCCATGTTTGGAGTGGGAGGTTCATCAAATCCTTCACCCACACTCCGGTCCGAGGAAATGCTTGCAGAACCACAGTATGGTGGTCTATACCGTATGGTGGTTCCGAAATAGATAGAGCCGACGATTTCCAATGCGCCTATACTGGGAATCTCTTTGCAGCTAGTTTGATGCTAACCCATGCATGCCTTGACAACTAGCCGGATCAATTAGAGTGTGCCTTCACAGCAATCAAGTGAGAAAGGGTCCTTTCCAAAGATCATGTTCTGCCAAATCTGGGTCAAAAACTGCTGCGCTATGCCTTTAGCCAAGAGTTTGGGCGCACAACATGTTCTTCGCTTTCCCGCGCTGGCCGCAGATCGCCACATCCGTTGGACTTGCGTTGGACTCCGTTGGGTGTTTGGATGTGCTTATGGCTTATGGAATAGGAAAGCTCCCAGGGTCCAATCGGTTTGTTTGTTTAGCTAGCTAGATCCGACCTATGCAGTACTGGGTAGACCTCAAGAGGACGAAAAATTGAAGCTGCTCAGAAGAAGTTCATAACAATTCGTGGAAAACGACATGTCCCAGACACTCCATGGAAGGAAAAGGCCGTCCCATTGGCCATTGACCCCTAAGACAAAGCCCCCCGGTATGTCAATAGGCCAATCCCATGGGTCGTGTTTGGGTGCTGCGTTTGGCTTCAGGATTGGAGGACGGACTTTTGGATCTTTGGGCTCTTCCTGGTCGAGCTCCTTGGATGCATAGCCTGCCGCTGTGCGCATGGCGGTGATGGTCTGTGCCGGTCAGCTGGCCGAATATTCCAACAGTATGACTCAGTATGACAGACGAAACAGAGCTGAAACATGTTCTTTTCATGTGTGTTGCAAGATGATGGAGTGTCATTCCGGGCCGAGAAGGCCGACTCGCAGTGTTTCTACACCGTTTCAGTTCCGATTTGTGCAACCATCGGAGACCGTTCGGACCCGTTCGGTGTGGCACCGTTCGGAGGTTTCTGGACCTTTTGATGGTCGTGATCAACCGGAGGCGCTGGTGGTGGTTCAAGGGCCAAAGGTATCTAAAGGATTCCAAAGGTTCTGTGTTTGTTCTGTGTAGAAGTCCAATACCAAATAGCTGGAGTAGTAGGCTGCTTTCAAAATGCTTTAAGCATGCTGAAGCATAGATTCATAGATCATGAGTTCCATTGATTGGGCTGCTACTTGGTCGACAACGTCTCGACTGCGCCACACCCAGGTCCTGGGAACGCTTAGCCATGATCTTCCTGGCAGCGCACTCAAGCCTTTTGGGGGGGGTGAGGTTGCTTTGTTCGACAAGTGGCTGTCTTGAGCCCCACACGAACGCCGAGAAAAAACACGACAGCTCCAAAAAACTGTTCAGGCAACGAACGATGGTTAGCAGTGTCAGCTCAACAGTGGAATGATGACCAGAAAAAGATCTCACCATCCCATCCCCACTTTGCAAGCCTTATACCCAAGTGAGTCGAAACACCAGAGAATATATAATATATAGACAGGAACAAGAAAAAGATGAAGCTTTGCCAATCCTATTCCGGCCAGGATCGGAATCGATCGGAATCGTGCAAAAGCGCTTGAGGCCAACACCGGGATCCTGTATTGTGCGGAGTGGCTGAACCAGCTGGCGGCGGTCTGAGAGATTCGTCGACTTTTGGGGGTTTTCAGCCACGTTTTGGCCGCTGAATCGAGGCCAGCAAGAACTGGAAGACCTTCTCAAGCCAGGACTACTTCGATAAAGCAGGTGTCGGAGCCTTGTTCTGTTTGGTTGTTCTACCCGTGAGTGGCACCAGGTTGCACCAGTGAGTGACACGTTTCTACCACCCACTTCCCGCACGGAACCGGTGTGGCACGTTTCCACTGGTGACGTGATACGTGGAGTGATGTTTCTAGCAATGATGAAGTGGTTCTTGTCTACAACGCCAAAGCTGTTGAACTTCGCATGGTTTGTGGTTGCTTTTGGCAGCCTCATCCCAGTGATGACTTTGCTATAAGATGATGTGGATCCATGATGAGCCATCACATTGAATTGTTTCAGCTTGTGAAATGTCGGCCCAGCCGTTCCGCCGAAGACGACCCTCGCAACTGTTTATAACTCCAGACGTTTCTCAGAGTTCCAACGTGTCCCAGACTCCATTTGCAGTGCAGCCCCATTTCTTTACGCGAACTCAACGGGGGCCCACGGGAGCAGAACTTCGAGAGCCTCAGAAATGATGGCTGTGAAGGTCCGGTCCCCAACAATCAAAAGTCAAGCCCCTCCGAAGCACAGAGATGCATGCGTTCAAAGAGTTTCAGGTAGGAGCAAGGACGCTACTACTAGCTCCTGGCATCGCTACTAGTAACAAAGGGCATCGCTACTAGGAGCAAGTTTTCTGCAGTTTCAAGGG